ATATCAGTAGCTAACAAGGCGCTAAAGATGATATCACAGGAGAAGATGCCCAACCTAACCGACATCAACAAACTCATGTATTCCACAGCAAGTGTCCTAGCTGGCGAACTAAAGACAAGGCAGAGGACAGACATTAATACAGTGGAGTGCCCATGGAAGAGACGGATAAGAAATTCTATAGAGTCATATCGAAAAGACTTGTCTATCATCCATGAGTACAAAAAAGTAAATGCCTCCCAGAAGGTCAGACATAAATTCAACTCCTTGAAGAGTGCCTATAAGGGAATATGAGCCTGCAAGAACTGGAAGCACACATTAAAATGAAAATCGCAGCAAAAACACAACGTCTCACCCGGTATACCAAGAGAACTAACCATTATCATCAAAACAAAATTTTCAACAAAGACACCAAAAAATTCTACAGACAGCTTAACAGCCAAAACAGGGAGGTACTGAATCCTCCGCTACAACCTCAAGTTGAAACCTTCTGGAGGGGTATCCTTGAACAGGAAGTTCACCATAAGCCCGCCTCATGGATTGCACGTGAGATGAATGGCTCTGAAAACATTGAGCCCATAACATGGCAACAGCTTTCGATGGAAGAAATACAACAAGCAGTAAACAAAACGCAGAACTGGAAGTCCCCGGGACCTGACAAATTACCAAACTTTGGCTCAAACAACTAACAGCGCTGCATCGAGACCTAACTCGAGCGATAAACGAAATACTGGATAACTCTGAGAGTATTCCAAGCTGGCTAACAGCTGGAACAACTTACCTTTTACCGAAAGGAGCAGATACGCAGGACGCTAAGAATTATAGGCCTATTACATGTTTGCCAACGATGTATAAGCTTATAACATCTGCTTTAGCGGCTCGCATGTACACCCATTTGACTCGAAACAACATACTGCCAGAGGAACAAAAAGGGTTCGTAAATCGTCGAGGGGGTGTAAAGATCAGCTACTGATTAGCAAATGGTGATAACTACAGTAAAAAAAACGTATGCGAAATCTTGGAATAGGATGGGTGGACTATCGAAAGGCCTTTGATAGTGTACCACACTCCTGGATCGTTGAGGTGATGAAGATATACTGCGTGTCACCGTCAATAACTAAATTCGTTGAAAGGTCAATGCAATCATGGAGGACTAAAATGGTGTTGTTCCACCGACAAGGCCAAATTGAAACAGGAAAGATAGCAATCAAACGGGGTATTTTCCAGGGCGATTCATTATCGCCATTGCTATTTTGCCTTGCATTAATACCTCTCAGTAAGATCTTGAACTGTGAAGCTGTAGGGTTCACCATCGACCAATCAACTCGGGTTAGCCACCTATTATATGGATGATCTGAAGATATTCGCCAAGGATGAGGCACAATTAAACCGAGCCTTCACTCTTGTCAAGGAGTTCAGTGATACCATAAAAATGGAATTTGGTTTAGATAACTGTGCCGCCGTAATATACAGGAGAGGAAAAATGGTGAAGAGCCAGAACATCAGGCTAAATGACGATACATCCATAAGAAACTTAGACATAGGAGAATCGTACAAGAACCTTGGTATTTAGGAGAAAGATGGGATTGATAATGAAAGAATGAAGAGCAGAGTAAGTAAAGAGTACTATCGAAGAATTCGCCAAATCCTCAAGACAGAGTTAAGCTCTAAAAATAAGTTTTCTGCTATCAACGCACTAGCTGTACCTGTGGTGACATATAGTTTTGGGATAATTGACTAGCTGAGATCAGACGTTGAGAAAATCGACCGGAAAACGCGAATGATCCTTACCATGGGAAACATTCATCATCCTAAAGCTGACGTTCAGAGGTTGTATATCAGAAGGCGTGAAGGCGGGAGAGGACTGATAGAGCTTGAGTCTGCTTTCAACTCGGAGATAGTTCAGCTAAGCGAGTATATAGATCCAGTAACGATAAGCTTCTGAAAGCTGTTAGGCATCATGATGAGAAAAAACTGAAATACTCGCTTCACAGGGAAGCTATAAAAATCAAAGCTAAGTATCTCAACTCTGATGGGTTCGGTCAAAACATAAAACATGATGCGCCGTAACGCTGAAATCGAAAAAAAGCAAGTCTTGAGAAACAAGCCTCTGCACGGTCAATTTTTCAGAAACCTCGATAAGCCATCCATAGACAAACAGGCGACAATGGCGTGGTTACAGAGCTCTGGACTAAAGGGCGAGACTGAGAGTCTTTTAGTTGCAGCACAAGACCAGGTACTAAAAACACGATATTATACAACAAACATCTTGAAGCAGACAACAGACAGCAAGTGCAGAGTATGTGGTCAGGCAGAAGAACATATCAGTCACGTAATAACAGGTTGCAAGGTGCTGGCGCCCAGCGAGTACACGCACAGGCATAACAACGTCGCTAGCTATGTCCACTGGACCATATGTAAAGATTTAGGGTTGCCCGTGGCTAGCAAGTACTACGAGCACGTTCCAGAAAAAGTACTAAGTCTTAGCGACAACACCACTGTCATGTGGGACGTGCCTATTATCACCGATCGAACAATCCGAGCAAATCGGCCTGATATTGTGATTCACAACAAACAACAAAAGACCTGCCCTGCTAGATATCGCAGTACCTGATGACTCAAACGTGCTGCTGAAAGAATCTGAGAAAATCTCAAATATAAAGACCTAGAGATAGAGATCAGTAGAATGTGGCATGTTAGAGCTAAAACTATACCCATAGTAGTGGGCGCCCTGGGAACAATTCAAATAGATCTAAACAACTATCTTCAGATGTTACCAGGCCGGCCCAAGGAAACTGAAATCCAAAAGATTGCATTGTTGGGTACCGCACATATCCTAAGGAAAGTGCTAGGGTAAATATCTCAGAGCTCCTGTCGAGCGCCGTGTTTACTCCTGAAAACCGTCCATAGACGAGAGGAAACAAACAACACCAATAATAATAATAATTATAATAATAATAATAGTTATAATAATAATAATAATAATTATAATTATAATAATAAAATATATAATAAGAATAATAATAATAATTATAATAATAATAATAATAATTATAATAATCATAATAATAATAATAATAATAATAATAAAATAATAATATAATAATAATAATAAGAATAATAATAATTGTAATAATAATATTAATTATATAATAATAATCATAATAATAATAATCATAATAATAATAATAAAAAATAATAATAATAATAATAATTGAGATAAACGATGGCCAACCCTCTAAATACGCAGATGAGTTCAGGGGCTTGTTCATGAAGTATGATGGTGTGGAACCAGCTCTTAAACCAAGCCTACCAAAGCTAATAATAAAACCCCATACATCTGAGTATATCGCTGAAGTTAACAAAGTAATAGATAACGAGATTACAGAAGATACAACCTTGACTGAGCTCCATAGCCTGTTGTACATTGGAGCACTTACAGTCCTAAAATTAAATGAACAGAGAGTTGGCGAACAATGTGTAAGGAAAAACAGCCTGGGAGATGAGGATATCGCGTAATATAGAGGATATTAGAAAGGACATAGCAATACTCACCCAGTACCGCAGGTCTGAATGTAGTCTGAGAGTAAAGAGATCCGCAGAGAATGTGATAAACCGTCACTGCTCGGAGGAGAACCCAACAGCCGTAGAAGTCTTGGACTACCTGAAGCAAAAACTAGCAGCTACAGCACTGCGACTTCGAAGGTACAAGAAAAGCAACGAACGCCGGAAACAAAATCGAGCATTCGAGACCAATCAGCGAGGCTTTTACAGGAACTTGCAGGCGCGACGGAGGGATACAGATCAGAACAACGTTCAGATTCCTACCTCAGATGCCATCAATACCTTCTGGTCAGGAATTTGGAGCAATCCAATCAATCATTCCACATCTAAATGGTACCGCCAAGAGAAAGCAAATAATTCAACTTTTGGACCATGCTCGACTGGAAAGTAAGCTTAGATGACGTGGTAAATACTCTACGAAAATTACCAAACTGGAAAGCCCCAGGATCAGATAAGCTTCAGAATTATTGGCTAAAAACGTTCACTTCGCTCACGATCGACTCGCAAAGTGTTACACCTCAATCTTAGAGCAACCAGATATGTTGCCAGAGTTCTTAACAATGGGAATAACATATTTATGTTAATCCCAAAGTGCGGCGATCACTCGAACGATCCGGCAAAATACCGACCAATCACCTGTCTGCCGACTATTTACAAGGTATTGACTGCTATAATTACTGAAAAGATATATTCACACCTAGAGCGGAATACTATACTAGACGAAGAGCAAAAGGTTGCCGAAAAGGGTCTCGAGGCTGTAAAGAGCAACTTGTTATAGACTCTGTCATAACTAATTATGCCAAAAAGAAAAAAATACCCCTGTACATTGCATACATCGATTATCAGAAAGCGTTTGACAGTATACCTCACTCTTGGCTGTTAGAGGTGCTTGACCTTTATGGGATCGAGTGCCACATCAAACAATTTCTGGCACATGCTATGGCGAATTGGAAGACACGGCTCTATCTCAACACCCAAGATACGCAATTCAGTGCCGGAGAGGTATCCATCAAGAGAGGAATATTTCAAGGAGACTCTTTAAGTCCGCTATGGTTCTGCTTAGCGCTTAGACCGTTAACAACAATGCTAAATAGCCAAAAGAAAGGAATACTGTTAGGTGGCAATGAAACACGCATTTCACATCTTTGGTACATGGATGACCTCAAACTTTTTGCAGAAACCAAAGAACATCTTCATAAGCTTCTGGACTGTGTAAGTAAATTCAGCACTGACATCAAGATGCTGTTTGGCTTAGACAAGTGCAAGATCAGTTGCATGGTAAAAGGCCAATGGAGTAAACATTCAGGATATGAGCCGAACCAAGTGCAAGGGAAAATTGAAGGAATGCAGCAAGATGAACAGTATAAATACTTAGGCTATCTACAAGCGCCGGGCATAGACCAGAAAGCTGCAAAAGAAAAGGCAATGGAGCACTATAGAACACGTTTGAGGGCGGTGCTGAAAACAAGTCTGTCAGCTCGTAATACAGCACTTGCTGTCAGCACCTACGCTACTTCGGTCCTTACCTACACGTTTGGCATACTGAACTGGACGGATACAGAACTGAACGCACTTAATGTGGAAACCAGAAAAGAATTCCGTAAACACCGGGGACACCACCCACATAGTTCCATAGAGCGGTTCCATCTACCACGAAGTGAGGGTGGCAGAGGAATACCTTGCATACCTACACTACATCACCGCCAAGTGGACAATCTACGCCAGTACTTCCTCCAAAAAGCCACATCCAGCAGAATGCATCAAGCAATAACACAGACGGATAAAAAGTTGACACCACTAAACCTTTCAGAAAAATCTTTCGACCCTGAGGCAAAGATAACCCCAATGCAGGATCTGGTTCGCCAATGGAAAGCCAAACCACTACATGGTCGGTATAGGAGCCGCATAGAAGACAACGCCATTGACACGAAGGCTTCCCAAGGATGGTTGCAGTCAGGTAATCTGTTCCTGGAGACGGAGGGCTTCATAGCCTCCATCCAGGATCAGGTAGTCCCAACAAAGTTGTACCGAAAGCGTATAATGCATGAGAACGTTGACGATATCAGATGCCGCATATGTGGGGAAAAAGATGAGCACATAGATCATATTGTAGCAGGTGCTCTCCCTTAGCTCCTAAACAATATCTTGAAAGGCACAATGATGTGGCCAAAATACTTTATCAAGCTTTGGCTAAAAAGCATCTAGGAGAAACTGGTACACAGCCCTACTATAAATACACGCCGCCCCTGTGATAGAAACGGAGACCTCTAGGCTGTACTGGAACCGTAAAATCATAACTGACAGGCCCATCCCCAACAATATTCCTGACATAGTGCTCACACTAAAAGAAGAAAGAACGACGTTTATAATAGACATAGCTGTGCCTCTTCCTACTAATATCCAAACCACCCATGCGGAAAAAATCAATAAGTATTTGCCACTCTCCGACGAAATCAAACGCATGTGGGAAATGGGCAATGTGTCTATAATACCAGTTATAATAGGAGCTACTGGAGAGATACCAAGGAAACTACACAAGAGTCTGGAAAAGCTACAGCTCCATCCAAAAATATACTTGCAACTGCAAAAAGCTGCACTGCTGGGAACATGTAGGACAGTACGTAGGGTTTTAGGAGATGAGAACCGGATACGGTGAAAAGACCGCTGCAGATCTATTTCCTTACTTTGGCTAACCGCCTGAGGGAAATATTAATACCTTCGACAGAGGAGTAAAATAGTATAAAATAATAATAATTAAAATAATAATAATAATATAATAATAATAATAATAATATAATAATAATATATAAAAAATATAATATATAATTAAGAATAATAATAATAATAATAATAATAATAAAAATAATAATAATTATAATTATAAGAATAATAATAATATTATAATAAAATAAGAATAATAATAATATAATAATAATAATAATAATAATATAATAATATAATAATATATATAATAATATATAATAATAGTAGTTAAATATAATAGTATTATAATAATAATAATAATAGTTATAATAATAATAATAATAATAATAATAATGGTTATTATTATTATTATAATATTAATAACAATAACTATAATTATAATAATCATAATAATAATAATAAAATAATAATAACAATAATAATAATAATAATAATACTAATAATAATAGTTATAATAATAATAATAATCATAATAAAATAATAATAATAATAATTATATTATTATAATAATAATAATAATAATAATTATTATTATTATTATAATCATAATAAATAATAATACCATACGATTTATTGACCACCTATACATAGAGATATATGTTTGAAGTCACAAACTAGATAAAGTTTATACAGAGTCTGTCTTCTTGCTCTACACACGATCACTGATCACTAGGATCACATGCACTTAAATATTCACTTACAGTATAGAAGCAGTTTCTTAACAAATAGTTTTTGACAAACCTAGAGAACTGTTTGTTAGACATCTTCTCAATATTGGACCGCTTATGATATCTAACAAAGTTATTGTAAAGCGACACATTAATCTTGTTGTGTTGTGTCATGGCGATCCTAGATTGCGGTAATGATAATCATTAGCGTATCTTGTATTATAGCTGTGTGTCTCTGATCTTATCGAAAAAGTACTCAGGTTTGCGTGAACATGTAAAAGGGTCTCATGTATGAGCAGGCATGCTAACGGCAGTATGCGCATCTCTTTGAACAAACCGCGGCACGTATGATCGTAGGAGACGCCAGCTACAATCCGTATAGCAGCCTTTTGCATTGTAAATGCTTTTTGGGCATTGACAGAATTACCCCAGAGGATGATACCATACGACAGATGACTATGAATGAGGCTAAAGTATACAGTTCTCATGGTTTGTTCTGTGCAAACACTGAGCCAGTTGCCGCATGATAAACATCTGTCTGGAAATCTTGGTACAAACCTGGTCCACATGCTCCGACCAGGTCAAGCGGCTATCCACAACGATCCCTAATAACTTTACGGATGATGAAGTCTCATTCCATTTGTCTGATGTTATTCTTAGCTTGCTGGTTTTTGCTTCATTAAGTTTGAGCTTGTTTGCCGAGAACCACCACTTAACCTGGTCGAGACTGTGGGCCTCGTCAAGTTGGGTAGCCTTGGAGAGCAGAGTAGTGTCGTCTGCAAAAAGGTAGCATTTGCTATTGTTGACATTTTGTGGGAGGTCATTGATGTAGATTAAAAATAATAGAGGGCCCAAGACAGAGCCCTGGGGTACCCCGTTCGTAATCGGTAGAACCTGGGATTCTACTCCATCAAGGCTAACCATCTGTCTCCTATTAGCTAAGTATGATCTCATAAGCTGTGATGGCTTGCCACGGATCCCATAGTACTCCAATTGTCAAGCAGTATAACTGCGTCTACACAGTCAAAAGCCTTGGTTAAGTCACACATAGTTGCTAGAGCGGTGGTTCTCTTGTCAATGCACTCTAATGCATCCTCAAGAAAACTAAGAATGGCTTTAATGGTTGAACAGTGCTTTCGAAAACCAAATTGGGAAGCTGAAAGGAGGGAGTGCTTTTCAAAGTACTTTATTAATTTTTCTTTGATTACAATTTCGAATAATTTACTTATTAATGGAATTATTGTGATTGGCCTATAGTTATCGAGATTATCTTCATTCCCTTTCTTATGAATGGGAATGACCTTTGACAATTTAAAAGCATCAGGCCATACGCCTTCATTAACACACTTATTAAATAGTATTGTTAAAGGTTCAATGAAATCCTCACTGGCTATTTTCAACATAGCACTGTTCATACCATAGAAGTCGAGTGAGGGTGAGTTTTTTAGTTGAGCTATAGCACATCTCACATCTGTTTGGAGTATCGCAGACATGAAGAACGAATGTGGTGTCTTGGGAGTACGG